GGGGGGGGGGGCTTAAGTTGCACAAGTTCTGAGGCTCGTACTCTCTACAGTACACCCTACTTACATAGAAATGCTTTTGGGAATCGTGCCGTACAGATTAAGTACAACTTACTACTTAAGTTCTACTTAGTGCTTTGGGAAGCTGATCAAAGTCCATTCAGAACCTTGGACAGCGGCATCACTCCCAAGACTCCGGACTTTCTTTTATGATAATGAGATTACGTCACATCGCAAGACGAAAAACCATGCCGACAAGATGGAGAATGGAATTAGCATTTGAGTGTGGGGAGATTGGTTGGCCACTGTGTCAGAGGCTTTTTCCTGCACAATCTATTGCTCAGTATTGATTACTTTAATGCAGTCTACTGGAGAGGCTCTCCCTAGGGTACACTGACTGTCTAATGGGTGGCTGTGGCATAGGGCTGCACTAATAAGGAAACACGCTTATCAGCTTATCCTGTATCCAAATCACTTGAAAAATTTCAGAGAGTCACCTCTGACCCTTTGCTTCCTAGCATGCTGAATTTCAACCAAAGGCTTAAATGAAAAAGAACACAGCCTATTATAACAGCACAGTACACATATCTGTAATTAGAATTGTGACATTCTCTCTTTTTCATCGTGTTACAGGCCAGAAACAGTCTACAGCAGGGGGACATGGATGGGGCAAGACGCCTGGGACGCTTGGCTCGCCTGCTTAGCTGTGTGGCCATCATCGTGGGCTTCCTTAGCATCATAATCTATGTGGTCGTTGCAGGTATGTTGCATTACAAGCATTTATTTCATCATCTATCCACTATTAAACAATATAGATGTGACACGCTTTATTATTTTTAGTCAAAATTAATCACGCGTTGTTTTAAAAAAACAAAAACAATTATAAGCAAAACACTTGTATTTTGAGTGTTAGTGTGTTTTTTGATCAAATAAAGTCTTAGCTTTCAAATTATGCCAACTTTACCATGAAATTCAAATAATAAATGTTGTTTTGATGCTCTTTAATGTGGTGTGACATGTTGCTGTAATGTAACATGCTTTTTATTAACATTGAAAACAGTTCTATTTAATTTTCCTAAAAACTGTGATACTTTGATTTTTTTTTGATGAATAGGAAGTTTAAAGAATAACATTTATTTGAAATAGAAATATTTTGTAACAATGTATCAGTCTTTACTCACATTTCTTATTAATGTAATGCATCATAGCTAAAAGAAACTTAAGTAAAAATGTAATTATTTTTTTAAGTTTGAATAAACACCTTAATTGTCAAAAAAAAAATTAATTCTGAAAATACTTTTAATAATATTTTCTTAAAAACAAGTTATGACAGCCACCATTTAAATGATTATATCTTGACAAGCAGAAACATAATTATGTCACAGAAATTCATTAAGAGACTAAATTAGTTTCTGGGCCAAAATGATGGAGCGGTTCACATACTATAGTTGATAATATATACTATATTTGATAAATTGCATGTATTTCCATACTCAGTGTTGCTGTTATGATTCATATGCTCTTTTTTTCTGCTCTATCCTCAGTAACTGGATAGGAGGCATAGTAAGAACGAGAAACCCATCTACAGCACTACTGCAAACAAAATAAAAACCTCACCCATGATGTAATTAAAATAAGATCTCCCTCTTAACAATAATGCCACATAAGATAAAAAGAAACGAGGACTGTAGCAGCAAAATAAGATCTGATTAAATAGCAAATATGCATGCAGTAGATTAGCATGCTCAGTGAAAAAACTCCCATATGTTAAAAAGAACAGTAATGGCTTGCATTATGTAAATGAGAAACATTGCTGTTGTGGCAAGACCTCATCTGAGGATGGCAAAAGGACAAGGGGACTTTCTTTTTTTTCTCCCAAAGATGGTCTTTGAAAACATGGCTATGCCTGGCAAGCTGCATTTTAACCTTATATTACTCCTGGTTGATCTTGCATTTGAAAATTATGCACAGAAATATTTGCAACCACTGATGTATGTTTTATAAAAAGATTTATATGTGGAGTTTAAGTGACGGGAATGAACTAGGGATGACAATCTGTTAGATAGAATCCTTGTCAGACTTAACAGAAATGGTCATTGGGGTTGGAGATTTCATTTTTGTTTATTTATTTTGTATGTTTTGATTATTAAAAAAAATGACCACACGCATGCCTGATCGTTTATGTGAATAACTGTCAGCATTTTTCACTACTATGTTTTTTATCTGTAAGAGTAGTGGGTATTTAAAGATGGGAATGTACATCATTGTCCAGTGTATCAAATGCTATATTCTTTCAATGGCACAAAGTTCATGGAGAGCTCTGCCTTTAACCACGAGGATCCACTACACATCCCATACTAGCATAGAGAGGTAAGGCTGAAATGTTACGCATGCCAGCCCTCTCTTTCCTGACAAAAACTGCTGGAGCATGGACATTCATCTAGAGGCATGCAACGGCCAGCACCATTCTGTGCCAAGACCTTTGTATCAGTATGCTAAATAAATCACAGGACTATTCATCTTTACCCTGGGTTCTTTCCTGGACAGAATGCCAGTTTCCCTGTCATAAATCTCCAGACTTATCCCTTATTAATATGAGATATATATCAACATATTTATAGAAATATTTAGGCATGCTGTGGGTGGACAAAACATTTTTTTATCTTCACCTAGAATGAGCTTGTGTGTAAGGGACTTTGCTTTGACACGTCTCACAGTGTTTATTGCATCTCCGTGATTGCCAATTCTTCAATCTGCTTATATTAATATGAGAAAATTACACAATCGGAGGTACAGATACATAACAGCACTTAGACCGAGTAACGGTTAAGAAGGAAATGTCTATTGACGTGCTTCATTCATACTGAATTAAGTATTTGACTGCCCTGTAATAGATTTCAATGCACTTAATCACTTACTTTTCATCAATATTCTTATGTCCTGTCAGTACTTTTGTATCCTAAAAGTATACTTTCATGTATAATCTCCTAAAAATAGACTGTTAGTACCTAAACACCTAAGATGACCATTTCATATATAGGCATTATGCTGTATAATGTACTGTTTTGTGCTTCTCATAACTCTTTTGTTCACTATAAGTGATTATGTTACTGTGTTGTTCATAAAACCCATTATGCCATTATGAATGAGATGCAAAAATGCTGCTATGGGTCTTAAAACTGTGATTTATTATGTACAACTTTGCATTCTTGGTTCACTTGTATATCTGTTTTCTATGTTAGGCTACCGTGTACAATAAAGTGTGAAATAAACATTAACATGCATGGTTCACAACTTGCTTGCGGTTATTGATCGTGTATAGCACAGTAGCAGAGAAACATCAGCAAGCAAATTATTGCATTAGCAAAAAGCTAAATGTTAAGAATACTACACAAAGAAATACAGCTAGACAACAGCTTTCAAAGCCTTCCTGCCCAAAGCACATATACAAAATATTTATTTTTCATGTTACTGACTATTGCTGTTGTAAATAATGCATGGCTAAGGAAATGGCACAAGATCTACTGGCTGATTTTGCACTTCCCTGGTTCTCTGATCTCCAAGTATGGCCCTCACTCCAGGACTTGGCACTAACAGCCTTCTCTCACTCACAGTGACACGAAGTGTTTAAGTACTCACAAATCTAGCCACCAGCTTAAATGAGACTAAAGTGCCACTATTAGTCATCTAGAATCACAATCCGAAATGGTTTTATTTTGCAAGGAGAAGAAACAATGACAAAAACAGCTTTTTGTCAGCTGAACCCCAAGGAGCTAAATATTTGCCTGAAGTTGACCATGAGATGTTAAAAGAATTTAAATCTTTCAAAATATAATGAATTGCACATCTTTTTATGCTCATTTTTATATTTATTTTTAAGATATACATATTAAAGGGGTCATATGTTGCTAAAAATAACTATGTTGTGTATTTGGTGTAATGAAATGTGTTTATGCGGTTTAAGGTTCAAAAAACATTTTCCACATACTGTACATTATTGTTTCTCCTCTATGCCCCGCCTTTCTGAAACGCGTCGATTTTTACAAAGCTCATTGGTCTGAAAAGCAAGGTGTGCTCTGATTGGCAAGCTATCCAGTGCGTTGTGATTGGCCGAATACCTCAAGTGTGTGATGGAAATGTTACACCCCTTACTATACTGTGATGCCCTGTCCGGCTGGAACGACGAGACAAAAACATTAAAACCCATTATAAACGAGGCATTTGTTGCATCCAGTGGGGACATAATTATGGATTATAATGACTTATACTGTCTTTTACGCATTGCATCGCGCCGCGTAAATATAAAACCATGTCTGCATTTGTGATCAGAGAAATGACAAACAACAAGTGCTACTCTACACTGCCCAAAACTCACGTTTGAATCATCAGTGGCAAATCCTTTAAATGAAAACGTACTTACAGACTGTGAGTCAGAACTGCCAGCATTGTAGTCTACTCTACCAGGATCAGGAAACAGTCCTCCATAAAATGTGCTGCACACATCTGAATATTTGGGTTGAACTGTTCTGGAACAGTGTTGTAAATACAACTTAACCACTGATTTCTAGTCGTGTCCTCTTTTGGAAGGCCAAACAAAGTAGTTTCGCTTTCACAACGAAACACAGCATCTTAACGACATGGTGGCAGCAACAATACTACAGCGAGAATAAAAGTTATGCCTTCTTTCTTTGCGTGAACATTTGGGCGGCGTTATG